CGGAGGCCACAAACCGTGTGCCCACCCAAACACCCGCAGCACCAAACATCAACGACGCCGCCAGACTGCGGCCATCGTTGATACCACCGGCTGCAACGACAAGTGCCGGTTGCCCAGTGAGCGGACTCTTATACTGCCGAGCAACATCCACAATAGCAGGTACGAGAACGGAGAACGGCACTTCGCCGGTATGACCGCCGCCCTCGCCACCCTGTGCACATATAATATCGACTCCCGCCTTTAACGCCTTATGGGCGTGCTTCGGTGCGCCAACCATATTCATAATCAGGATTCCGGCCTCGTGGAGCCGCTTGATGGTCTTTGCGGGCGGGATGCCGACGGCGGAGACGAAGAGCTTGGCGCCGTGCGAGATGGTCACCTCGATTAGCTCGTCCAGCTGGCCGTGTGTGTAGTCGTGGTTTGTTGCACGCGCTGAACCTCCGACCTGCGGAAGGGCGAGATCTACGCCGAAGGGGAGAGAGGGGTCCCGGAGGAGTGATTTGAGCTCCGTGAGCATTTCTGATAGTTGAGCTGGTGTGTAGCCTAGTCCGCCGATTGTACCCAGACCGCCGGCATTAGAGACCGCTGCTGCTAGTGGAGCTCCAGATGCGCGGGCCATGCCAGCTAGCAGCACTGGGTGTTGAATCTTGAGGAGAGAGCATAGTGGTGTTTGGAGAGACATTGTTGTTGGGTTGCAGAGATGGTTATGGTAGATTCTCAGAGGTAGAATTAGGTGGAACTAAGAGATGGTCTTGTCTCGATGCTTTCTTAGATATGGACAGTGTATATATTGCAGTGGGGGTTTCCAGAGCAGGATGACTAAGCGGCTATGTGACATAAAAGCACTCCCGAGGCATAACTAGATAGCAACGCAGACACCTTTCCACTTCCATTCTCAGTAGTCACCCCATGGTGTTCTCCTCTCTAGCACCCTATTACTCCCAGTGACGACTCTGCTCTCACACCTGTTTCGCAGGCAGGGCTGTCGGTGCCCCTATCCTAGGGACCCCTCTTCAATGTAGTTTCCAGTATAGGATGACTAAGCGGCCATGTGATAAACTATAAAAGCACTCCCGAGGCATAGATAGCAACGCAGACACCTTCCACTTCACTTCTCAGTAGTCACCCCATGGTGTTCTCCTCCCTAGCACCCTACTACTCCTAGTGACGACTCTGCTCTCACACCTGTTTCGCAGGCAGGACTGTCGGTGCCCCTGTCCCCTGTGGCAGGGTCCCCTCTTCAGTACCTAAACGTACCGGATTTTCCCTGGCGTGTGGGGCTTTCCTATTTGATCTGCCGCCGCTTTTATAAGGGTGCTCAGGCTTAGGCTCACTGAGTAGATATCAGCACGGACTTAGATCAGTGATTATACTCAGTGTGACGATCTGCCGACTGATACCGACTGTGCACCTGCCCAACCTGGAACCTCGACCTCGCCCTTGCCAATCGAGTCGCACAAATGGAGAGGAATGAGATATTTTGGCCTTTGTTTTAGTCAATACATTGCAACCACATCTGCGCCGGCATCTGAGTTCCTTGGAAACCAAAAAAATAATTTATCAACCGGTGGATTACATCAACTCCCTTTGGAGAAGACCAGGAAGGGACAAAGAGGGATATATAGGAAAGAAAGCGAACAGCAACATCATGGAAATATTTTGGACAGGTGGCGCATCAGTATTCAGGTGCGCCTAAGGTTATATATCGAGTATGCGAGAAGATTCCACTACATCCAATGGTTACTGGGGATGGAACAGATTCAATGAATCGACATCTTCTTGCAAATATATGTAAGAGAATGGTTGCTGCCCAAGGGCGTCAGGGTTGTATTGAACAATCCTTACAGCGTGCTACAATCATTGAATTTCATTTCCGACTAGTCAGTCGCATGGCCACGCCTCCCGTTATGTCTACATCATATATGCCGTCCATGGTCAAAGTCATTTTTGGAACACTATTGTTCAGCAGGCCATCCAACCTCTGCTCAACTTCTCTTGGCTCCTCCTCGATGAGCGGCACAGCATCTATGCGGTGGCGCTGTAGCAGTTTTAACATGACCGCGACAAACTCAACCTGGCCCATCTTTTGTCCTGGACAGATACGCGGCCCATGACCCCAGGGAAGAAAACATCCCTTCGGCGGTTGATATATGCGGCGTGCAGACCCGAGTGGATTGATCCAGCGAGAAGGGCGGAAGGTGCACTCGTCAGGGAGTTCATTGTCATCGGTATGGACCCATGATGGGTCAGAGCACCGGTTAATATCGGGCCACACATCTGGATCAAGATGCAGTGCAATGTGATTTATAACCACGGACGAATTAGCTGGGAGGGAAATCATGTCGTCGGATGTCCTCAGCTCTTGGGGTGTCTCGTTTGTTCTCAGGACGTGAACAACAGGTGTGTACAGACGCAGTGTTTCTAGCATAACTGCCATGAGACGCGTTGCCCTTGGAAAGACGGAAGAATACTCTGGAGTTTCTAACACGTCTGTAGGCATCAAGACATCAACCTCTTCGAATAGCCATTCCTGCCATCCAGGATACCTGGCAAGCAAAACTATGGCAAAGGAGAGGGTGTTTGCCGTTGTTTCAAACCCTGCTGCTGTGAAAAGAAAGAGATTGCCGTTCAACTCCTCTTTGCTAAGGGGGTTTGCCTCATTCTCTTGTTTTTCTGCTGCTTGAAGCAACTGGCTCATGATGTTGCTTTGTCCTGATGAAGTCTTCTTGTCCCAAACGCGTCGACGCTCCTGGTTGAGAAGAATTTCGGTGTGCATAGGGAACTCGCGTTTAGCAATGCCTAGCTGCTTCATCTTCCGGTATCCTGGGATCCAGGACGGCCAGTTTAAAAGTATTGTAGTTGGGATAATTATCGGCCCAGTGACAGACGCCATGACAGATTTGCAGGATTCAATATATGTCATCTTGAAACCCGACCCGGGTTTCTCGCCGTCTGTGCTCTTCCATGGAGCCTTTGCACCCATACCAGCCTCACTCAGTACATGAATTGTGATTTTCTTGATCATATCGAACATTTTTGTCGACTCAGCAGAGACCCTTTCTCTGTCGGTCCCAATGAGAAGAAGCTCATCCAGCATGCCCGTTGTCTGACATATCGTTGCATCGAAGATGGTCTTGGAGATGCGCTCGTTGATCACGCTTGCAACAACCTTGCGTTGCTTCGCCCATCTCTCTCCATTGGTTGTGAGAACATTATGTCCAAACTGACCTAGGAGTAGTCCAGCAATCGGTGGCATTTTGAAATCATCTGTTCGTTGTAGCACCTCAGCAGCGAGGATCGGATCGGCGGTGCAGAGCTCTAGAGGCCCGCAACTGGCAACCAAGAATGATTTTCGATATCCTTGTGGGGCCGCATATTCGTCGAATGGCCGGCGCTTCTCATAGAACTCCCAGCCATAGATCGTCAGCGTGAGACGTTCCCATATCTGCTTTGGGAGAATGCGCTTCAACCATGGCCGCAAAGGGACGGACGTCAATAGCCAGATGATGTTGCTTGGATCTATTGGATACACCAAGTAAGGTAGGCCGATGGACTTGGCGGCGCGAATGTTGCGAAATAGCCGGTACGCGAAGTTCGTGAGGTATATTAGCACCAGCGCGCCGACAATTCCAACGCCAATCGGCATTTTCTCGTTGGTTTGGGATAACAGATACCAAATTAGCGTGCTAGCCTAGACGGTGTAGAGTAATAAACAATTTGCGCCAACAGAAGGGCTTTGAGGCGAAAGGAAGAAATCTAGCCGATTGGTAAACATCAGCCCCGTTAAATGGAATCATTTACGACGTCTGACGATATCCACAATTCTTCTGACTGGGCATGTATGTGAATACGCACTTGGTTGGAAGAGATGATGTGTCATGAGTTGCGTTTCGGCTAATAAAGCTACTGCTATTGGGCAGGCTAGGCCCCTGGTGGAGAGGCTCTTATACCTAGCACTGCGTACTTTTCATTTGATTCTGATTTATGGATCTATATGCGAGTTCGAGATTGCGGCCCCATTCCTGTAATTACAGGGGGTGGAGCCGCACCGCCACCCTGATCCGCAGTGTAACCTTGGAACATCGACGGATCGAACCGTACCAAACTAATTTTCCGAGTAACCCGTGAACGGCTCCACTATAGTTTTTTTTTTTTTTTTTTTTTTTTTTAGTATTCATACGCTGCCCCGCTGTAATGAGCATACAACAATTTGCATTTTCTCTAATCACTCACTTTCTTACGTATTTGGTCCAAATGTTGAAGATACCATTAAAGTATCCCTTTCTGAAAATTCTGTGGATTTTAAACTAAATACAACTAGTGGAAGCCGATGAGCAAGTTGGAAGTAACTTCGGAAGCAAGTAAGCACTAGAGTAAGCAAGTAAGCCCGGGAATAAGTAACTAGTCCACCCGTAGACGAGTCAAAAGATGCCGCCCCGATCGATCTCGGGAGATCCCGTTACTTTCCCACCCGTACCAAAAGGTAGGAATTAGAGCATTAATAACTGAACGGTTTCATAAATGTCAAGACTGCTGTTTTTTTTGTATTCTTAGGTTTTGTGGGAGCTAGTTTTGTTGTAGTGGTTCGGTCCGTGGCCTATAATCGGGCCGCAGCCCCCAAAACCAACACGTTCGAAAGAACAGGCTGGATCACTGACCCATGGAGTAACATTAGACGGGGCGACCTGTTAGCCTGAAAGGAGCGCTGTTCATCGATCAGATTACTTATTTGGGAATTTGGAATATTGGCCCAAGCAAACATTTCCAGTCTTCCAAAAAAATATAGCGATCAACCATGGTGACATTTTTAAGTATGCGTTCAACGTCCTTCAACCAACCCTAGCAGGATTGAAGCATCTTCCTGAAGGCTGCCATGGCCTGGCCATTCTTGTCCACATATGAGGTTTTCTTTTTCTTTCTAATTATACTATCTTGGCGCCTGAAGCACTGGACTTGAAGCAGGTCCAATTGAACCAACGTTCCGTTCAAGACTCTGTTCTCTACCACCCCGGTCTCACTTTATCAAAATTAAGATGCAATGCTCGAATTCCCTCGCGGCGTCTCACGATGACACTGGGGTCTCGGCTCAGAGCCGGCAGCCCCAACATAGTATCCTTTCGCTTGGGAAGGATCCCTCGTCCGAGGGCCTCGCCAGGTGTTGGGGTAAAGTCGAAGGTGATGAGAGCTTTGGCCAACATTCCGAGGGTTAAATTCATACCAAGGTACCGCCCAGGGCACTGGTGCATGCCTGGGAGGCCGAAGACGTTGAGATGCTTGACTAGGTCCTGTTTAACTTGTCCGTCATTCTGGAGAAACCGGCTGGGTCGGAATGTCTCCGCGTCTTCTCCCCATATGTCTATGCTGAAATTGTGCAGATGAATTGGAGTCATAATGATCGAGCCCTTCCTAAGTCGATATTTGTTGTCGAAGACGCTATCCTCATGCACGCCGCGTGCAACGGGAGAATCCCCATATGTACGCAGAAGCTCGTACCATGTAGCCACTAGAAGTGGACAAGAGCATCGAATTTGTTCCACATCGATGGCCGGGTTGGTGGATGAATCATCGACAGTGGCTTTAATCTCAGCCAGCAGGGAAACCAATAGCTCTGAATCAGCCACAATTTCGCAAAATGCCCACGTTAGTATGTTGATGACATTTGACATCAGTCCGACAATTGCGACCAAATGGCAGTCGGTAAATCCCTCCCGAGGGATCTCGAGGGATTCGTAGAGAGAAGCGAGCCGCTCAAAGAGTGTCACTCCCTGCTTTTCTTTATTTCCGTAATTTCCGTTTTCAACGCATTGATCGATCTTCCACCGAACGACTTTCCGCGCTGAACGTAGCTCAGATGGTATCAGCCACGAAATTGGATTGCGCAAGGTCTCCAGATTTTGAATGAAAAGTCTGTAGACGAACAGTGATTTAGTCATGCGATTGGGCGAAGATTTCACAAGGGAGTTACCTACCTGAGGTGATCGCGAAATTTCTCATCTTCGAAGGGTCCGTCTTCCCCCCAAAATATAGCGCCCATCGAGCGAGAAAGGAAATCAAAAATCCAGGATCCAAGACCAACTTCAGCTTCTGAATCGCACTCTGGAAAGGCCTCGCGCCAGTAGTTTTCAATCTTTTGGTCCATCAGAGATGCATAATTCCGGAGATTTTGTAGGCTGCGGAGCTCGCCATTGAACAACTTCGATAATTCTCGCTTGAAAACACCAGTATCAGGATCGGTGAGAAATTTCTGGCTTGCGGGTACAAGGCCCATGGCGGGCCCAACAGCAACATGGAAAACGGACATCAAGCTTAAGTGACGCATTCCCGTAAATTGTTTGATACTAGCCGAGTCCAGCGGGTGAATCAAATGCATGTCCATTCCGGGGAGTTTCAGAGTTTCCATCGGCGAGCGTTGGGTTGAACTGAGGAACTTCCGTATAAGCCAAGGATATGATAAATCGGAGGGGAAGGGTCTTGAGATACCATAGCGATGAGATGTACAGGTTAGAACCTTTAGTTGCAATCCCAAAGATGTGACCAACAAAGGGAATCCAGGAGAAATGAACAGGCGGGGGTGAACAAGTGCTCGTCTTTGCCTTTTGTGAGAGCCTGTGCCTGATTGCAGCGTAAGCAAGCCACGCAAATATCAAAGCCAACACAGGAGTCTGAAGCATCATGCTCGTATAATTGTCGTGGGTGGCTCCGCAGGATGCTGACTTTTCAACTGCTGCTCTTCATCCACCATCTCGTTTTCTCGATCTGGGGGAAACGGAAGGTATCAGCTTACTATAATCCGAATCAGACCGTTTACGGTACGTAAGATAATACAAACAACACAGTCATAGACAGCAGGGTCACGACCTAGTGGAGAGGGACCCACTATATGGACCTTCTTCCTACGCTTGGCAAAGCGCCAGCACGTGTATGAGACATAGTTGCTTCATACGGACCCATCGAGTGAAAACTTGATTATTCTATACACTCGTGGGCCAGCCAGGACTCCATCGCATGTATGAGATATGACTGTTTCTACGGATATCGTAAGAAATGACCGTTCATACGCTCTTTGGTCCAATTTCGCCCGAACGAAGCTGGTTCATTGGTTTGCAGTTAAGCCCCATGTAGTAGTTTACATTGAGGTTGCAAGCTAGGGTTGGTTGGAGAAATCTCAAGATTGAAATGAGACTTTCGAAATTAGAATTGACTTTTCGAAATCACACCATGCCTGCTGCACGCTAGTCGTTATACAGTATTTAATAGCGAGTTGAATATGCAAGTCAATATCTATTCCAAGAGCTAATCATGCTTAGCATGTGGAATTTGCTCTTGGCTGCGTCATGTATTATGTCTGACAGGACAGTATACGGCCCCAATGTAGCAGCCATCAAAGCTTTGCTTGAGATTCGGGATCTCGAACGTTTGACTGAAAAGGAATTCAGGATTATATATATCTGCTTCATTTTCCATACCCTTAGACTGGCTTCCACTGCAAATCCTGACGATCACCATGGCGTTTGCACTACTCTGCTTGTCATTATTGACAACTGCGGCACTTTATGAATTGTCTTGCATTATATATAATCTTTTCTTCCATCCATTACGAAAATTCCCTGGGCCATGGATGGCTGGGGCCACCTCAAGTTGGAGAGCGTACAAGGAAGTTATCAAACAAGAGACACTGGCTCAGGAGCTCTTCGTTCTGCATGAGAGATATGGTGAGATAAGTTTGGAACATAGCTGAAGATTTCTTTTTCTAACGTCAAATCCCACCAGGTGACATTGTGCGTATCGCGCCGAACGAGGTAGGTTGTCTCCGTACCACAGACCTACAAGTCTACACTCCCCCGGCGAAATTTCAGTATAACTAACATCAGTCTTTGCATAGCTTCATTTCGGAAGTCCATCCGCATTCCATGATATCTACAACAGTAGCAAAAGATGGGACAAAGATCCGGGCCTCTACCGAACCCCCGGGGTCACGACCGGATCCTTTGTGTTTTTGAAGTATGCCCAGGCAAAGGAACGACGGGAGGTGCTTCTTCCTATCTTTTCCAAGAAGGCAATTAATAGCCTAGAGCATCTTGTTTGGCGAAACGTAAGAAGACTGTTGCATATCCTCAGGAGTAAAATTCCTATTGATACTAATCTTTCCTCCTGTCAAATTATAGGCAACTCGCCTCGCATCCTCTATCACCAGAACCAACGCAACGAAAAGCTCCATCGATCTCCTTTATGCCTTCCGGTCCTTTACCCTCGATACTATCATGTGCTTTACATTTGGCAACTGTATAAACGCAATAGATGCCCCGGCATTCAGCGACCCTTTGATCTTAGCTATGGACGCCAGCCTTCGCTTATTGCCACTTCTGAAAAATTTCCCCTTGATCCGGGATCTGATTTTTGCTGTGCCTCCGGCTCTAGTTATGCGCCTCGTTCCAGATGCTAAAAGGCTGGCTCCGCGCCTCTATCAAGTCCGCGATCTTATCCAGCAGCAACTACAGGTTGTATTGAACTGCCCTTCTAAGCTTGATGATGTGCCCCATCAGACTCTGTTTCACCGTATGCTCGACCCCCAAGCCTACCGCAGAAAGGAGGTACCGGACCTAACAGCCCTACACGACGAGGGTTTCACACTTATCTTTGCGGGTGCGAATACAGTGGCAGACACGCTACTTATGGGCCACTGGCATATGATGCAAAGCCCGATCCTCCTGAAAAAACTGAGAAGCGAAATAATCACTATTTGGCCAGACCTCGAAAAGCAACCCTCGCTCAATGATCTTGAGGCCCTTCCACTGCTCACGGCAACAATCAAGGAATCTCTGCGCTTCATCCCATCCGGTGTATCATTAACGCGTGTTGTGCCTCCAGGAGGCGCTATGATATCGGGCCAGCAGATCCCGGGAGGAACCACAGTCGGAATGGCGATATTGCACGTGCATCAGTCCGCCGAAGTCTGGGGTAAGGATGCCCTCGATTTCCGACCGGAGCGGTGGCTAGAGGGCAGAGAACAAACCGATGCCGAGAATGAAACGGATACCACTAGATCTCATCACAGAAGTGATCTTGATCACTGGCTTGTGCCATTCAGTCGTGGTCCACGCATGTGTTTTGGCATGAATCTAGCCTGGGCAGAGATGTACATCGCTTTTGCGACGATGATCCGGCGCTTTGATTTGACCATCGACGGAACGACGCCTGAAGATATGGAGTGGCGAGAGTGCATTGCAGCCTACTACCCTAAGAGACACTTGCATGCTTGGTGTCGTCCGACCCAGACTTAGAAGATGAGATAGGGGGACTGAGAATGGGAGGCAGAAGAGCGATGTATATAGGAGCACACACTAGAAGGAATAAATTTTGATACCTTTTGATATGCGTGAGGTATCAAGAGTCTTTGGATTTTATCTCAATTACATTCAAAGTGCTCGATAGAGTATTCTATCAATCTATACTAGCTGCTATTACAAAAAGGACACCTGTGCAACCAGGGACAAATACATTGCCAGATATCTCCTGACAGGTTAACAAATGTCTTTTTTTTCCAAAACCAGAGGAGCCACTAAGTTAACATCTGTTGTGGATAGATGGCAAAAGCAAGCTCCGAAATCAAAGTCCAGTTCATAAAAGGAGAGAAGCGTTGGCCACTCCTCACGGTCGGCACACCAACTAGATCACATACTCCAGACCTGTCAGCAATTTCCCATCATCTCTGATCACTGTTTTGTAACTTACAGGTATGAACAAGTAGGGGACTTCTTTCTCATAGCGCTTCCAGGCCTCGCCATACTTTCTTCGGCATCGGTTGATATCTCTGTTGGTGCGGTGGATGATCATGACCATGAAGAAAATGAAATAAAACCACGGGAATGGGCTTCTATAAGTAGGTAGTTTGTTAATTCAATTCATGACTTTTGTAAATAGAAACAGAAAATCTTACTTGAAACCGGTAATCAGGCCCCATGACATAGAAAAGAACATATCAGGCACATAGTTTGGCTTTCGAATGATTGCAAACCAGCCATCGACCATAATATGATCGCCTGTGTCTGTTTGAATTGTCTTGGGGTTCTCGATTGCTTGCCACGGCACTTGAGGGAACGTATTCCGCTTGATAAGCTGGCCCTTCTCCTTGTGGCGGAACGCGTTTTTCTGGCCATTCGCACTATCCCACATCCAGTAGAAAAAGATATATAAGACAGAGAAAACAGCGAGGGCGTATCGGTTCCAGTGATACTCGGAGGGGTCATGGTTGGCCAGATAAAGGGCACAATGGCAATAAGTAAAAGGCACACCCGCCATATTCCAGAAGGTAAGTAGGAATCCAAGTTTTTCAAAATACATATCCCTTTTCTAGCGTTAATTTAAATAGAATATTAATGTAATAATTTTCTTAACTTACCAGCTTGTAATGATCATCTGTTCAGCTTTCGCACAAGCATTTGTATAAAGGTAGTGCGCCCCAGCCAGGAAGACTACCTCAGCCGAGACAAAGCCGTATGTTTCGTACTGGCGAGCTGCCACAGAGCAGGTAATGAGGAATAAAATAAACCACGGGATTCTAACCTCGTAGAACATCTTGAAGTCCAAAATTCCAATCCGTGGATTCAGTTCAGCACCCATGAAGAAATCATAGATAGGAGAACCCGATAGCCGATGGGTTCGTCCACGTATAATAGCTTGGATATAGACGATGAAGCTATTCAAGAAGCCAGACAGAATAGAGACACTCATGATAGGTCCAAATTCGTCAATCAGTGTATATAAAGGAAATATACCAGTGAAGTGCAAGGTAGCAGCAATGACAAGCGTTGCGTAGAAGCTGCAATAGGCGGAGCAGTAGTAGGGAAGCCTCTTGTTACCTTCGTGCCTCAGGGGCCGGCCAAAATTCAAAACTCCAGGCATATAGCAGTACATCAGGGCCTCCATGATGAAAAAGGTCCAGTAGATTGCCCATGCTTTAGCGGTGGGGTAGGCTCCCTCGTAGACTAGTTGGCAAAGGTGACGGCCAAAGTCGGCCCAGCTCTGGTTGGACTCAGGCAGAGGAAGCATGCCATCATAATATGTTGCACCAATCCACATGTACCACATCAAGAGGGGAAAGCCTGTCATCAACAGCGTAGCGCCGACTGAGCCTCCAAACTCGAACTCATCGGACGCGCCGTCTGTAAATTTGGTGGTACTCGATTCATTCTCTTTGGCACATCCAGCAGGTGGAGCTGCGGCCACGGGGATTCTCTGTGACAGGGCCATTGCTAGCAATTGAGATGAGGAAGAATTCTCAGCTTTGTCGGAAGGATTGTTTTCACGAGGGCCAGCTCTTTTCAGGGGCATCATGTGACCTCGCGTGTAGGCACTTGAATGCAGGGGGTTGCTCAACTACAGCGACTTACGAGGGGGTTTTAGGTAATCTATCTTGGCTGTGAGAGTCATAGAACATTTCGATAGCACCAAAACAAGTACCAGCCCCATTTTGAGGCTGTATTTTCGAAGATCACCCAATTAAAACGGCAAGTACTAGCCCACCAGTGTGCCAGTGGAGGTTCATGGCCAATACCAAAAAGTTTACACTAGTTTCACCACTAGTTATTTCACCGTTACAGTCAGTATTTGGCCCCAGCCCCACAGCTGCGACGGCGTAAATATAGAAGACTGGCCAATCTATTGCGGAACT